AAAAAAAAAAAAAAAAAGAGACAAAGTTCTGGAAACGGGACTAAACTGAGAGAATCACAAGTACCAAATCATCTGTACGCAGTGTTCAAAGCTTCTCCCATCCGCAGACAACACAACGAACTGGACGCTCGATTGGCAAGAGCCATATTGGTCCTGTGCAAACTGAACCGAACGGAATAAAAACTGTACGAGGTAGTGCGCCAAAAATATGACACAATGCTACGGGACCGGAATTCACATCGTGAAACTGCGACAGATGAGAATTATAAACCCATGCTGGTGATGGTGAAACACTCCGGAAAGTCAGCTCATTAAAATCATCCGTCATCACTACTCACCAGGTCTCCTGGTATGCTGGCAAGCACGTGGACTGAACAATTCTACTTTGTCAGTTGATGTTGACAGTTTCCTTTTTTTCAGATCAAAACAGCCACGTATTTCCTGGGAACTATATGAAAAGTTTTCACCAGGTACAATGTAAGAAACAAACATATTGTCACGATCACATGCCCTATATTTCCGAATATTCGCGCACGCACTCTGATCGATCACTCAATGCAATAAAGTGTAATGTCTAACAACTAGTGCAAGACAAGCATAACTCATACCCTGAGAATCTGCACAAGGGATTCATTCATTCCCTTTTGAGATAAATACCTTTTACTACCGGGAAATCGATACACTCGCGTATGTCACCGTAAATTGTGAGCACATTTTTTCCAACAGTGGTGGTTAAGAGTGGACGTGTACACGTCCTCAAAAGTTTTGTGATATCACTCTAGGAATGAGTGAACTTTCCGGCAGACTCGATCTATCCACAACCCCCTACCCTCTATCCTCTCTTGGCTGTCTGAATCATCATAACCAACTGTCTGATCCCTCTCTCTCTCTCTCTCTCTGTCTGTCTGTCTCATGGGCCCTGCTCCTCTGGTTATTATCACTACCATCTCACCTCCACACCGCTTTGTCCTTTGAATTAGACTTCTTCTGGTTGATTGAGTGATCATTTGTCTCTCCTCCGGTCATTGTTCTCCCCCCCCTTCCTTGCCATCTTCCGTGAAAATCATTCAGTAACGTTTTTCTCTCCAGTTTTTACTCCCTTCTCTATGGAATAGATTGTGATACGATTTTCACGAGGGAAGAAGTAGCTGATCGAAGGAAGGAGCGATAATTTGGTGAGCTCTATCTCATTCGGCTACCACCCATCAATTTGAAAAGGTGATGCGAATACTTCCGTTTGATTTGGTCAAATCATGATCCAATAACGAGTCATTACTTCAAAATTTATTCGTTTTGGTTGCCACTCTCGAATGGCTCCCATAAACAATTGATTTCTGCCCATATTAATCAGTTCATTCAGTAAATTACCGGATTCTGACGCATAAAATTGTTCCCGCTAATGTACCGTTTGAACGTCACACTCATCGCAAGTTCATCGGAAAATGTTTCATGAGGTGAACCTATTGACTAGGTCATATTAGACTTCAGTGTAATTAAGGATTTATTAACTTGAACTATCATTCGGACTTCAGTTTCACGCACAATTCACAGTTCATCGAATCAACCATGCACTAGGAAAGCACTAAACCTGAGTTTCGCTCTTATTGGAGCTCAACAGTAGTGCATATCCACCGTCCCATCGACCGGGCTTTGAACTCCGGACCCATCACATGGAAGTCATGTGTGTTACCACAGTGCCAACCAGCTCACACCATAGCTGAACCAATTTGCCAACTCGTTTTTTTGTTCAGGTGTCGTCTTCAAAGATAGTCGGTTCATCTGGCCCGAGAGCAATGAAGGGAGACACAGATGACAATCTGCTAACTCCAATCGAAGTCTCCTACCAAGTCAGGACTTCCATGCAGTTTGCGGGCTGATTCGCCAACTAACCTACAAATCAATAAATATCAATTATCCATTTCATTCTTTCATTTCGTTTGCATCGATTGGTTTTACGTCTGATCTGTTTAATCAGAGATACGTCTATCGTAGTAAGTCTACCTAGGTTCAAAACTCAAGCAAGCCGGAAGAAGTATTTTCGATCACAGTAAAACACACATTCCCTTCCTCCCGGGATTAGAGCAGACGGAATCAACTGCTGATCAGTTTATTGTATGCATAAAGACCGCAATTCATTTTTCACTCAGTGTGTCCACTGTTTACTCATGTATAAGTTTACAACAGTGTGAGATGCTCTTGCTTTTTAGCTCTATTTTATTCTAAATAATGTAGCTTCTGTATGCTGGTAAAAATGTCTATATCTGTTTTATTAATGAAACTTGGAGCACTGCAACAATTTTATCCGGCGAGCTGATTTACTTCACTGTTAGTAATTGGTCGGCGACTGAAGGTCCTGAAAAAATCAGTTGCGGTTGAAATTCCTCGTCTGAGATTGCCGTACGCTAAACAGATTCTTTCAGACTGAAGCTCTCGAGAAGCACACAGAAATCTGAAACAGTTTGGCGACTCGCTAGTCAGTGAGCCCTCTTCACTCGTGGATACTGAAGGTTAAAACGAACGTTGATACAACGAGAGAGAGAGGGATATATATATATATCGGGAATGATCACTATCCTTCTCTTTTTGTGTCAGCCTCCTCACCAACGGATTCGGGTGTCAGGTTCACATTAGTCAGGTTACCCGGGTTCAATCTCATGAACGATTTCGAGATGAGATAATTTACTCTTTGTTTATTCTTTAGTGTTTGCACATTAGCCCTAGACGTGCTCAAAATGCTAAAGCCTTGAGGGTGTTAGATGAGCTTAGGACCAAGTAATTGAAGGAAGAATTAGCGGCAGAGAAACCTAGAGATTTGAACAACGACTCCACCGGTAACATAAAGTGGAGTTAATGAAGCTCGCTGAGGACCTTTCACTTGTTGACGATCAACATTCAGCCAAAGTTGATGAGTTGGTTGAAAAGAATGTTAGAGTGGTCAATTATACTGATGAACGCTAATGCGTTCCTTTCTATAGACCCTTAGTTTTTCCTTCTGCAGAGAATCTGTATTCAGACGACATTGTGCTATCAGGTGAAGATCCGGGTAAGTTGCAAGCTTTTATGGATAGTCTAAGTGCCAGTGTAACCATGTTCGGTATGCCTTTTGCATCTTTAGAGTGTAAAATGTTGCTACAAGATTGGGTTAGTCTAGCCCCAAACCTAACTCTGACTGAGGAAGTATACAAATTTTGTTTCTGGGTAGCTATATCTGACCTGATGGACGCGTCACAGATAA